TGAGTAGCTGGGATTACAGGCACACGCCACCATGCCCAGCTAATTTTTTGTATTTTTAGTAGAGACGGGGTTTCACCGTGTTGACCAGGATGGTCTCGATCTCTTGACCTCGTGATGCACCCGCCTCGGCCTCCCGAAGTGCTGGGATTACAGGCGTGAGCCACCGCGCCCGGCACAATCAACATTTTTTATTGATAAATTTTTACTAGCAATCCAAATAATTTCCATAAACCAAATTCCTGGAATTGAATCATTAGGTCAAAAGGTACTTGCATGTTAGAAGCTATTGAGGCAGCAGTTGCCCAGAAAGTTTGCCCCGACATACACTTCTGTGATGTTTCTCCTGCAGCCTTACCAATACTGATTTTAGTTGTATGTCAAAAGTTTCTGAGTTGGAACAAATCATCTATTACATGCCCTTCATGTTGGTGAGTACATCTGGCCCCAGTGAGGGGAAGGGGATAGGAACTAACACCTACTGAGCTTGAGGCCTGCCTGTCTACCTAGGTACTGTCATAAACATCATCTCATTTACTTTTACTTATACATGTTTTTGTTTTGTGTGTGTGTGTGTTTTGTTTGTTTTGTTTTGTTTTTTAGATGAAATTTTGCTCTTATTACCCAGCCTGGAGTGCAATGGCATGATCTCGGCTCACTGCAACCTCCACCTCCCAGGTTCAGGCAATTCTCCTGCCTCAGCCTCCCGAGTAGCTGGGATTTCAGGCATGCGCCACCATGCTGGGCTAATTTTATATTTTTAGTAGAGATGGGGTTTCTCCATGTTGGCCAGGCTGATCTCGAACTCCTGACCTCATGAATCACCCGTCTCATCCTCCCAAAGTGCTGGGATTACAGGCATAAGCCACCTTGCCTGGCCTAATTTTATTTTTAATTTAATAAATAGAGCCTGGGTGACACAGCAAGACTCCCTCTGTCGCCAGGTGCCAGGCTGGTGTGCAGTGGTGCCATCTCAGCTCACTGCAACCTCCGCCTCCCGGGTTGAAGCAATTCTCCTGCCTCAGCCTCCCGGGTAGCTGGGACTGCAGGTGCACGCCACCACATCCAGCTAATTTTTTTGTATTTTTAGTAGAGAGGGGATTTCACCATGCTGGCCAGGATGATTTTGATCTCTTAACCTCGTGATCTGCCCGCCTCAGCCTCCCAAAGTGCTGGGATTACAGGCTTGAGCCACCATGCCCGGCCAAAAAAAGAACTTTTTTTTTAAAAAATTGGAAACTGGAAAACCAAGGTCAGGGTGCCAGCCTGGTTGGGTTCTGGTGAGAGTCCTCATTCTGGTTATGTCCCCACATGGCCTTCTTTGGTGCATGCATAGGGAGAGGGCATGAGCTCTAGTCCCTCCAAATCAAGGGGGTTCTACTCTCATAACCTCATCTGACCCTAATTATCTTCCTAAGGCCGCACTTCCTAGTGCCATCCCATTGGGGTTAGGGTTTCAACCTAGGAATTTGGAGGCACAGGAGCGTGCAGTCCATTTTCTCCATTTTGTTCAGTGCATTTCAAAGTCTCTCTGTGAGCACAGTGGGTTCCGACTTGAGCTGGAGTGGGGAGCATGTGATAACTCAGGGGTCAGCTTATCTTGCCCAATTGATGCAACCTCTTTCAAAGTGCTCTCCAAGACTGCCCTGAATTCCCCAAGGGCTTATGTTCTCAAGGTCACCTCTGGCTTTAGGCTTCTGCTTCACAGAATTGGATTGTCTCAGCACATTCATTTATGAGTGTAGATGATTTACTGAAAACTGAAGGCTACAGAGAGACTTATATCACAGCAACAAAAACAACTGAAAACACATTGTTAGCTATTTCTCTTTGGAAATCCTTCAGCCATTTCTGAAATCACGGCCCTTGCCAATTTCTGGGCGCTTCAGCCCTCGTCTCTCAGATCTCCTTCTCCCTCACAAATTCCTGCTTATTTCCCACGTATAGAAGTTTATTGCTGTCTTTTGTTGCCTTGGCTTCTGCTGAACCATGTCATCAGGGTTCTGGTGTGAACCTGACAGACTCCATCTTAGCGTCTCCCTCCCTGCTATTTCCCCTTTGGGTGCACACTGGGTCACACTGTACCCAGCATCTTGTAACCATTGAGATCACATCCTGCTTGACAAATGCCCCGGCTATTGTGAATACCCACCGTGGTAACCAACAATTTTGGGAACACTCCTGCCTCCCGGTTCCCAGCTTTCCTCTTCTAACCTGCTTGTTCTGCTTCAGCTAGACTCCCCTCCCCTTTCCCCTAGAATGGGTATAAAAAGAAATCACATCCCCGTAGTCTGGGCTGAGAGATTTTTGAGCATGAGCTGCCTCTCGGTTGCCGGCAATAAAGGACTATTATACTCTCAAGAGGGTATGACAGTTCCATCTCCCTCTGTGCTTCTTATTAAGGTATTTTTCTGGCTGGGTGCCCTGGCTCACACCTGTAATCCCAGTGCTTTGGGAGGCTGATGCCAGAGGATCCCTTGAGGCCAGGAGTTCAAGACCAGCCTGGACAACACAGGAAGACCCTGTCTCTGCAAAAACAAATAGATAATTTAAAAAAAAAAAAAAGGGAAAAAGGTTATTTTTCTAAACCAAAGGGGTTCGTTCTCCTGTAAGGGAAATTTCGGCTCCAACTGCTGATGTAATACATTTGTCATCGTCAGGGTGCAGTGGCTCATGCCTGTAATCCTATCACTTTGGGAGGCCAAGGTGAGTGGATCACCTTAGGTCAGGAGTTCAAGATCAATCTGGCCAATGTGGTAAAACCCCCATCTCTACTAAAAATACAAAAAAATTAGCTGGGCATGGTGGCAGGCACCTGTAATCCCAGCTACTTGGGAGGCTGAGGCAGGAGAATTACTTGAACCCGGGAGGTAGGGTTGCAATGAGCTGAGATCACGCCATTGCACTCCAGCCTCAGCGACAAAGTGAAACTCTGTCTCAATAATAATAATAATAAATTTGTCCTTTAGATGCACAATTTTGAGAAAGGCTAAATACCCCGGACTCTCTCCGCTGCTGACTCAGCATGTAGGTATGCCTTAACCACATTTACCTGAAGCCATGACCAATAGCAAAATTCACATCCACCATCTGTATAGAGAATGTGACTTTTCTACCCTCCTGGCCCTGGATAAACAATGAGTACCTTTTTACAGTTTAATGATAAATAACATTTGTTTAGAATTTTCAAATGCATCATCTCATTTGATTTTCATGAGAACTCAATGCCAGGCAACCCAGCCATAATTTCCTCTGTACAATGAAGTAACTGGGACTCAAAGAGAATTGACTTGCTGAAAACCAGCCCAGGGGAGCTTCAAAGGGGAACGGTGCTCCGTCGTCCCTCCTCTTGCTGCTGTAACAGAATGCCTGTTTCATGTGGAGTTTTATTTCACAGACCCAAGTTTTTGTCAGTTCCGTTGCTTCATTCTGACGATTTCATGGGATCCTTCCCTACGTCATCACACGGTGATGCCTGACTCCTTACCTGCAGTGGGATAATTCTTGCTCTCATCAGTTATTTGGGTTGAAATTTTGGGTTTTCTAGATCTCCTATTAAAATTCACAAACACTGTGAAATAGCCACTGCTCTCTAAGTTTGGGCAACATAATGAGACCTTGTCTTTATTTTTGTGTATGTATTTATTTATTTCTGAGACAGAGTCTCACTCTGTTGGCCAGGCTGGAGTGGAGTGATGAGAGAGATCTCAGCTCACTGCAACCTCTGCCTCCCAAGTTCAAGCAATTTTCATGCCTCAGTCTTCTGAGTAGCTGGGACTACAGGTGCCTGCCAGCACATCTGGTTAATTTTTCTGCTTTTCGGAGAGATGGAGTTTCGCTGTGTTGGCCAGGCTTGTCTCAAACTCCTGGCCTCAAGCGATCCACCAGCCTTGGCCTCCCAAAGTGCTGAGATTACAGGTGTGAGCCATTGTGCCTGGGTGATACCCTCTTTAAAAACAAAACGAAAGCAGCCTTTCTGCCTGTGGATGCCACCAAAGAAGCATCGTTAAAGTCTCTCTTTTCCCTGTGATCACGTCTAAGTCAGAGTCTCCCAAAGAGCCCGAACAGCTGAGGAAGTTCTTCATTGGAGGGCTGAGCTTTGAAACAGCCAATGAGAGCCTGGGGAGCCATTCTGAGCAATGGGGAACGATCCCCAACTGTGTGGTCATGAGAGATCCAAACACCAAGCACTCCAGGAGCTTTGGGTTTGTCACACACGCCGCTGTGGAGGAGGCGGACACAGACATGAGTGCAAGGCCACGCAGGCGGAGGGAAGAGAGGTGGCGCCAGACAGCTGTCTCACGAGAAGATTCTCAAAGACCAGGTGCCCACTTAACTGTGAAAAAGATATTTGTTGGTGGCATTAAAGAAGACACTGAAGAACATCACCTGAGAGATTATTTCGAACAGTATGAAAAACTGAAGTGATTGAAATCATGACTGACTGAGGCAGTGGCAAGAAAAGGGGCTCTTCCTTTGTAACCTTTGACGACCATGACTCTGTGGATAAGATTGTCATCCAGAAATACTGTACTGTGAGAGGCCACGGCTGTGAAGTTAGGAAAGCCCCGTCAGTGGAAGAGATGGCGAGTGATTCATCAGCCAAAGAGGTCCAAGTGGTTCAGGAAGCTTTGGTGGTGGTTGTGGAGGTGGTTTCAGTGGGACCGACAACTTTAATTGTAGAGGAAACTTCAGTGGTCCTAGTGGCTTGGGTGGCAGCCGTGGTGGTGGTGGATACAGTGGCAGTGGCGATGGCTATCATGGATTTGGTAATGAGGAAAGCAATTTTGGAGGTGGTGAAACTACAATGCTTTTGGCAATTACAACCATCAGTCTTCAAATTTTGGACCCGCAAAGGGAGGAAACTTTGGAGGCAGAAGTTCTGGCCCCGATGGTGGTGGAGGCCAATACCTTGCCAAACCACAAAACCAAGGCAGCTATGGCGGTTCCAGTAGCAGCAGCAGCTATGGCAGTGGCAGAAGATTTTAATTAGGAAACAAAGCTTAGCAGGAGAGGAGAGCCAGAGAAGTGACAGGGAAGCTACAGGTTACAACAGATTTGTGAACTCAGCCAAGCACAGTGGTGGCAGGGCCTAGCTGCTACAAAGAAGATATGATTTAGACAAATACTCACGAGTATGGGCAAAAAACTCGAGGACTGTATTTGTGACTAATTGTATAACAGGTTATTTTAGTTCCTGTTCTGTGGAAAGTGTAAAGCATTCCAATAAAGGGTTTTAGTGTAGTTTTTTTTTTTTTTGCACGCATGCTGTTGATTGCTAAATGTAATAGTTTGATCATCACACTGAATAAATGTCTTTTTTTTTAATGTGCTGTGTAAAGTTAGTCTACTCTGAAGCCATCTTAGTAAATTTCCCCAACGGTGTGAAGTTCGAATTCCTTCAGGGTGATGCCAGGTTCTATTTGGAATTTATATACAACCTGCTTGGGTGGAGAAGCCATTGTCTTCAGAAACCTTGGTGTAGTTGAACCGATAGCTACTGTTGTGACCTGAAGTTCACCATTAAAAGGGATTCCCCAAGCAAAATCATGGAATCATTGGTTATAAAAATGATTGTTGGTCCGGGCGCTGTGGCTCACGCCTGTAACCCCAGCACTTTGGGAGGCCGAGGCGGGTGGATCACGAGGTCAAGAGATCGAGACCATCCTGGTCAACATGGTGAAACCCCGTCTCTACTAAAAACACAAAAAATTAGCTGGGCATGGTGGCGCGTGCCTGTAATCCCAGCTACACAGGAGGCTGAGGCAGAAGAATTGCCTGAACCCAGGAGGTGGAGGTTGCGGTGAGCTGAGATCGCGCCATTGCACTCCAGCCTGGGTAACAAGAGCGAAACTCTGTCTCAAAAAAAAAAAAAAAAAAAAAAGATTGTTGGCACATCCTATGCACTATATCTAAACTGAATAATGGTACCAGATAAAATTATAGGTGGGAATGAAGCTTGTGTATCATCCATTATCATGTGTAATCAATAAATGATTTAATTCTCTTGAAAAAATAAAAACAAAATAACATGCCCAAACTAAACCATTATAAACAAACAAATACATAAATAAATAAAATTCATAAACACTCATCAATCCTGCAGGCTCTACTTTAAGGTAGTTTTTGGGGGTGGGGCAAAGTTGGGGTAGTCTGGTAGGAGGGTTTTTCACTCACTTCCCATTTCTTAAATAATGGATTTTCAGGAGCAGCACTGATCAATACCAGCAGAGTTCAGAATCCGTATTTCACCAAGCACAGGTTTCCTTTGCTGACTCACTCCCAGGATGTGTCGCACAGACCCTCGGCATCATTTGCTATCTACAGAGGGAAGACTCCAAGTCCAGAAGCCAAGTGCATTTAAACATTTGTCTGCCAGCCCTAATGTACTGGCCTTTGTGTCTTCCATCTGTGTTAGTAATCAGGCAAGACATCGTAAATTGTTTCTGCTCTAATTTTTTCCCCTTTCTATAACATAATGAATATTGATGCAGCCAAGGGTTCAGTGAGTAGGGGATGGATAGTTATTAGGAGTGAAAAAAAAATCAATGTAGTATAACCTCAGGATTCAATTTGAATTCCACTTTGGGAACCTGTTTTGTGGTTTGGAAAGAAATGAATTCAATATCAGCTGTTTGCAACTTGACAAGATAAAGAGCTCTGACAGTTCTGTTCAAAGGATGGAATCTCCGGCAATGGAGGGTGGAAATAGTTCAATCTCACTGAAGCCGGGACAGTGATGAAACAGCATTTAGGACAGATGTTTCCTCCTGCAACGCCAGATCCTTCTAGCATGAATCCTCTAGTGAGAGGATTCATGGTGGGAAGCTGTGTTTCAGGGGACAAAGCTTGGGTCTGGAAGTTAAAGCTGGATTTGCATTCAGCATTGCAAATTGTAACCATGGGCACTGTGTTGAACCACTCTGAGCCTCACTTTCTTCATCTCTAAAATGGGGATACTAAGGCCAGGCGCGGTGGCTCATGCCCATAATCTCAGCACTTTGGGAGGCCAAGGCAGGTGGATCATGAGGATAGGAGTTCTAGACCAGTCTGGCCAACATGGTGAAACCCCATCTCTACTAAAAACACAAAAATTAGTTGGGCATGGTGGCAGGCACCTGTAATCCCAGCTACTCGGGAGGCTGAGGCAGGAAAATTGCTTGAACCCTGGAGGGGAAGGTTGCAGTGAGTCGAGATCATACCACACTGCACACCAGCCTGGGTGACAGAGCAAGACTCCACCTCAAAAAATAAAATAAAATGGGGATAATAATGACCACCTTGCCGGTAAAGACTGACAATAATACCTACGCAGTGTCTGACACATGCATGTGCTTAGTTGATAGTAGCAATTTTTGTTGTTGTTTGTTAAGATGGGATCTCGCTGTGTTGCTCACGCTGGTCTCAAACTCCTGGCCTCAAGTGATCCACCCACCCTGGCCTCCCAAAGTGCTGGAATTATAGGCATGAGCCACCATGCCCAGCCAAGCAATTATTCTATGCTTGGTACTATGGAATTGTTTTGTAGTGAGATAAATTGTAAGATCATTTTTTATTTGTTTCACACCTGAATACTTTTGAATATAACTTACACAAGAGTGAATAGTATTATAAAAAAATTCCCGCATTCTTCCTCTTAATTAACTTGGTCTTAAAAAGGAAAACAGTAAGGCTAATGCTAACAGTAATATCTGCCTATAAATATGTACTGCAGATTGCTATGAGAACAATTGAGATAAACTATGTGAAAATACCTTACAAGACACAAAATGCATTGCAGTGATATTTTTAGGCTTCTCTTCCCTAGTCTTGAATATTAATATGCTTAGGAGATTCAACCTTCTGTGGCACGTATAGCAAAGCAGACCGCCCTTTCCTACATGCATGCCCTGTGGCAAACCCCAAACCAGTATAGGTGACGGACAGGCAAAGGCATTCCCTGTGGGAATTTGTCATATCTGACAGCCAGGCTTTCTTTTCTCATTTGTCTTCTAGTCACTCTAAGTATACAGCTGTTGCACACCATTAAGCAGTGGAGATAAACATCTTCCATGAGCATAGCTAATAATAATTTAGGTTGCTGATAATGGAGAATGCCATGCAAAAAGCCACAGGAGAAGAGTGGGTGCTTTCTTCTCTCTCTCTCTCTCTTTTTTTTTTAGAGTTGGAGTCAAGCTTTCTCTGTTTGACTCCAGGCTGGAGTGCAGCGGCAGGATCTGAGCTCACTGCAACCTCCCACCTCCCGGGTTCAAGCAATTCTCCTGCCTCAGCCTCCTGAGTAGCTATGACTGACTATATGCGTGTGCCACTACACCTAACTTTTTGTGTTTTGTAGAGATGGGGTTTCACCATATTGGCCAGGACGGTCTCGATCTCTTGACCTCGTGATTTGCCCACATCGGCCTCCCAAAGTGCTGGGATTACAGGCGTGAGCCACCTTGCCCTCTGGCCTTTATTTTTTTTTTTTTGAGACAGAGTTTCCGTCTTGTTGCCCAGACTGGAGTGCAGTGGCACAATCTCAGCTCACTGCAACCTCTGCCTCCCGGGTTCAAGGGATTCTCCTGCCTCAGCCTCCTGAGTAGCTGGGCTTACAGGTGCCTGCCACTGTGCTCTGCTAATTTTTGTATTTTTAGTAGAGACGGGGTTTCACCATGTTAGTCAGGCTGGTCTTGAACTCCTGACCTCAGGTGATCTGCCCGCCTTGGCCTCCCAAAGTGCTAGGATTACAGGCGTGAGCCACTGCGCCCGGCCCACTTTCTTCTCTTTTATGAGCATCTTACAGGTGTGGGGCTTTTGTTTTTTAAGGAGTATGGAAGTGGTGGGGACAGGTGTCATATATACTTGGTGTAATAAGCCAAATAATACAAAGGTGCATACGAAAAATAAATGTTCTTCCCTTCTCTGTCTTTTATATTCCCAGCTTTCAGAGGTACACAATGATGACAGTTTGATGTGGGTTCTTTCAGATATGAATGCGTTTTTCAGCCATGAATGATAGTGAAACCTGTTAGTGGAACGACTTTGAATGTCCAATCGATATCCTTGAGAAATAGAACGTCCTCCTATCAGGCTTTCCAGAGAATCACAAGCAGGTCATCCGGGAGATAAATATGTTCTTGGAAACTGTTTATTAGAATGCAATTTTTTTATGTTAATGGCAGAGTCCCACTGATACGCAAATGGAAAGTAATTTAGAATCTGATCATAGCATGGTAGGGAAAATGAGTTGAAGATTCCTCACCCTTTCTTCTGATTTAATCCAAATCTCTTTTTCTAGTTTCTTTTCCATTCACACACAAAATCCCAGGTTTGGGAATTTTAAAGAACATTCATTCACAGTGTTATTTCTCTAGCTGTAACATTTGTTATACCTGGGGATGTTTAAACATGGATTTCTCTTTTTTTGAGACAGAGTCTCACTCTGTCGCCCAGGCTAGTGTACAGTGGTGTAATCTCGGCTCACTGCAACCTCCATCTCCCAGGTTCAAGTGATTCTCCTGCCTCAGCCTCCCAAGCAGCTGGGACTACATGTTCCCGCCACAACACCCGGCTAATTTTTGTATTTTTAGTAGAGATGGGGTTTTGCCGTGTTGGCCAAGCTGGTCTTGAACTCCTGACCCTAGGCGATCTGCCCACCTGTGGTCTCCCAAAGTGCTGGGATTATAGGCGTGAGCCACCACACCCAGCTGAAACACAAGTTTCTGATTTAGTAAACTGGGGTGAAGCCTGAGTTTCTTTATTTCTAACAAGTCCCCAGGTCTACGTTCTGCACACTGAGTAACAAGGATCTCCTTATGATGTTGTCTCTGTCATAATGTGGCAGCTTCCTGCCACATTTGTGTTCAGGCCATATCGGAAGACCTCTTAGCACAGTGCCTTTTACTTTTTAAAATATGCTTTATCTTTTAGAACAAATTTAGACTTACAGCAATATTGAGTGGAAGATACAGAGATTCCCCACAGATCTCCTGCTCACAGATGCATAATCTCCCCCATCATCAAAGTGCCCCACCAGAGTAGTACATTTGTTACAACTCATGAACCTACACTGACACATCGTCATCCTCCAAAGTCCATAGTTCACATTACGGTTCACTGTTGGTGGTGTATGTTCCATGGGTTTTAACAAATGTATAATGACATGTACCCAGCATGATGGTATTATACAGAGTAGTTTCAATGCCCTAAACATCCTCTGTGCTTGGCTGATTCATCCTTCTCTGCCCTCAATCCATGGCAACTACTGATCTTTTTACTGTTTCCGTAGTTTTTCTTTTTGCAGAACGTCATAGAGTGGGAGTCATACAGTATACAACGTTTTCAGATTGGTTTATTTCACTTTGTAAGTTTAAGATTTCTCTATGGGTGACAAGAGTGCAACTCTGCCTCAAAAAAAAAAAAAAAAAAAAAAAAAAAAAAAAAAAAAAAAAAAAAAAGAAAAAAAAAAAAAAAAGATTTTTCCGTGTCTTTTACCGCTGGGTAACTCTTTTATGTTTAGTACTGAGTGTTCCACCGTTTATTTTTTCATTCATCTACTGAAAACTATCTCAGTTGTTTCCAA